TTATTGCATGAATAGTATGTTGTTCAGATCTCTATATACAGTAATGTAATGCTATATATCGAACTTCGTTATAATATCGTTATGTTCCAGCATTTCGGTATATTATACTAATTTAGGAAATCTTCGTTAAACTGAATGGTTTATTTATTGGTGGATTTGAAATTTCTTCGTTACATCGTTATACGGGTTTTAATTATAAATCTTCGTTCAACCGGGAGCTAAACATATATGAATGAACTGGTTCCATAAAAAGCTTCGTTATAAGGGCATCTTCGTTAAACTGAGCCTTCGTTAAACCGAGCTTTACTGTGTAATAGTAATACTGTGTATCGTGCAGATAATCAGGACATACATGTTACACGGCGAAAAATATTTTCTTTTTTTACTGCGGATGTCGGATAATAATAAATTTGTTATCGCTTTTCTGTCGTTCTTATTATTATTATTACTTGTAAAATTCCCAACCGTCTAACTCTATTCAACGCTTTCCCTTCGTAGCGTCTTAGCTCTGTGCATTATAGAATAGGTTTACTGGCTGTGGTGTTCTATGTGTCTTCATTTTTTGATGAATGTATGCGCAATTTCCAGTTACCATGATCACGTGTTCTCCACTTATTATTAATAATTTATTACCAATGAACTAGAGATGCTTGAGACATGCTTTGCAGAGATTTGTGTTAGTTGATTTATCTTTTGTGGGGAGGATCGATTCATAAAGTAGTGGTTGTATGCATATAGAGTTTTATTTTTTGTTCGCGAGGAAGATGGGATTATGCAATGTAGATATTCGTTGATTGAGTTTGGTTAATTGAGGTTGTAAGTAAATTGCTTATTATATAGTTTGCGTTGTCATATTTTTATTATTTAATATACTAATATTAACATTTAGACTATAGCTGGATATGTTCTGGTTCAGATGCTCAAATGTTTTGTACTGAAGACATAGCTATCGGGAAAGGATAATCGCTTCTTGTCCTGCGATTATCTGAGTAGCGAATTGAGATAATTAATTGTTGAGTATAACGCGATAATAATTAGGTGTATTTTAAAACGGACAGACTGTCGAATTAATCCACCGGCAGATAGTCGTCACTAATTATCTCGAGAGCAAATAATTATTAGGATTAGTGTCGCAATCCGGCAAACGGAACGTAAAAGCCTAAACAAAAGGTCACTAACTGTCAGTCTGGTTCAGCTTTTAGTAAGAGGCGCTCGAAGAAAGTTAAATCCTTATGAGTCACGTGACATTAGCATTTGGCGCACTTATAGGACAACGAATATAAAACTAGAAATTCTTACACAGGATAGTAATTAGTATTACCTCTTCTAAGTCAAACTATACTTCAATCACTTAACACTGCCCTTTAAAGCGCAAGCTTAAGTTCCGGATATACAGTACATGTTTTCGTGTTTCTTTGTATCTGGGTCAACTGGCTCCAAATTCGCTTTTCTCCTGTTTCTAAAATCCAAGAAATAGTACCTTTATTAACTCCATGTTCCGACGACTTAATCGATGCTGAATCTTAATTCCCTTTCTTGTATTGTGGCCCTAAAAAAGGCTTGTAAACATGCCGGATGTGTGTAACATGGATCATGATAATATCCTCCTGATGCTGTGTAAAAGCCCCACCCCCACCAGATGTCTCGAAATGAAATGCTCGCAGTGTAAGATTGATAAGTTGTCGAATGAATTTCCGTTATCTCCTGTGACTGAGCGCTGTGTCCATTTATCTTCGCATTGTTTGCGGGTAATAAACAAACATTATATCTAGTCAAGAATGTTTGTTAATCAACATTGTAACTTGCATGCTTTGTTTGTGTTCAGTGTCTGGCCCAATCACTAGGCAAACAAAAAGAAGACGAGTATCAGTGTCCTGGAATGTAAAGCAGCGCTTAGCCGTGAAGAAGTTGTAAGATGGAAGCAATATTTCGATAAGGCTTCGTTTAAGTTGGATGTCGATAAAATTGGTCGTCAGGACCTTGCAAACATAGAAAATGATGAAAGGATTGTTCAAGAAGGGAATATATATGTGGTCTTAGACGGAGAGGAGATTGTAGTCGATTACGAGAAGGTGCACACTGTAGTGGCATTACGGCAAGAAATTCGTATCCAGAAGAAGATAGAAGTCGCTAAGCAAAAATTAGTGTACAACGGTGTTGAGCTCAAGGTTGGTAAGGTCAGAGTATTTATTGTCGATTATGGTTTAGTCTAATCATCATTCCTATACTTACAGGATCACGCCGACGACAACCGACGTAAAAACCTTGCCGAATATGGTATTAGAGCCAATAGTCACATACAATTGATAGTCGCTACGGAAGAAAAAACTATTAAGGATCTGGTATTTGAGTTTGAATGGGGATTCCCCAACGACCAAACAATCGACTATCTGGATGGAACTTGTTTCTTGTATACTGGTAATAAATTCTGGCGCAAATACGATTGCCAATCTCCGTGGTACCCATCCACGCCCAATACGAGACATTCCGGTGATGTAATTGACCGCGCGAACAGAAGAGGTGATTTGTTTATAAATCATTTGTCTCTCTTATGGTTTGTGGATGCGTAACTAGCAACCTATGTCTGACATCATAATACACATAGGCCACCAACGGATAACGTCCAACCTGGACGAACTACCCGAAAACGTGACGCATTTGTATTTTATCCTTAGCGCACGGAACTCACCATCCATTGGATGTTACAAGATTCCAAGGTTCAGTGTAATAGATGAAGAACATCCCGATAAGAACTTGTGCAGATATGAGCTCAGCAATGTCTCACATTCAAAGGCTGTCATCATGTGTTGTGTTGCGCGTACCGGGACTAAATGGAAAGTCTATGTAGTTGGCACGGAGTCCGCAGGTAATGCGAAAGATTACGGGCCGATTAAGCAGAAAATTCAGACCATGGATGGGTTGTTTTAGGAAATGTGTTTTGGCAACTTGGAGAATTTGTGTCGATGGTAGAAACATCTATTCGAATATAGTATTTATCTAGCTTACCATACACTTTTCCGAGAAAATATGGAACTGAACAGGTAACTATATAAATCGCATCGGTAACAGACGATGTTTGTAATATAAGGTGCACGTTAGTCTAATTAAGCAGTCGCAGTACATGACCATCATCTGTTTGCCAGTTGTTAGCGTCTCGGGGTTTATTGGCCACTTTTTGGTAATTATCGTCGAGGAAAATATTTATTATTTGAACCATAAATAAAAGATAAATTCTGGCGGATAGCAGTAACAAGTGAACATAACAGAAAAGAGGTTTAAGGTTCCAGATCCCCATCTCTTCCGCGCAGTTCAATCAAAGCGAAAAAATAATAGTACTGTTACTTAACATTTGGACTCTCGCTTTTTTAACACATCATGTTTCCTGTTAAACTGAATTTTCAAACCCATCACATCTCATCGTAATTTTAGTACTCGACCCTCCTCAATGCAAATGACGTTAAAAGCAGATTAGCGTGTAGTGTCGCTGTGTCGTAAACGATGGCTCGGTCTCTTAAATGCATGCTTTAAATGTTCTACGAGTTATAAAGTTTTCCTTATCTCGCTTTCTTTCTCATAGCCACAACAAACAATAGCTTAATTGCGGGCCAAGATTAAATTTTTTCCACTGATACTGATAACAAATTCTCTAAAATTTCCCTACCTAGTACACGAGTTCAAACTACACTAACTAGTATTGATAACATATAATTTGTGATAGCGTTGGAAAATAATTGGTGAGCGCGAAAACAATATATGTTGTACAACTACTCTATTTGTTTACAAGTGAAACTCTTTAAAAGCCTTACTTCTGTATTGATATTACCAGTCACCATCTTTCAAAATTTTGAGTCACTATAACTATATGAACTTGGCAAGCCGAAATCTGGTAGGGGAGGTAACTGTTGAGAATAACCAAAACCATAACTGTTTCTTGGTTTAGGCAAATCTCCAGTAGGCAAGAGCTTACTAGAGTATTTACTCTTCTTTTCAAGATGTGATAGAGGTCTTACACTATTATGATAAATGGTGTTCCACACATTGTCAGAATTAACCTTGTGCGCCTTCCTAATAAGCTCGTTAATATAGTGAAAGGTTTGCTTTGCGCTTGGACGTTTGTCAGGATCAGCATCACAACACTGCTTGGCGAGTTGTTTATATTCTTCTGGTGCTGAATCAGGCATCGATGGTCGTAGTCCACTCATAATATCGCATATTAAATCTCTATCGAACTGCCTATCTCGAAAAGGTGGTTCCCCAGTGGCAATCAAATACATAATAATGCCAAAAGAATATATGTCCGATTTCATCGTAAATTTGCGAGTGTGAAAGACTTCTGGTGCAATAAAGGGTAAAACGCCTCGAATCGTTGAATTTGACTCGCGTGAATATACTGATCGTGAAAGACCAAGATCGCATATAAATATGTTGTTAACTGTACGAAAGTCTTTTTCTGTCTTGGACGCATTGTTATGCAAAACTATGTTTCCGCCATGAAGATCACAATGCACTAATTCCACATTATGAATATTTCTCAGATAATATGCAATAAAGTTCAAGCACTCTAATTTCATGTACCACGTCAATTTGTTAATATTTTGATCCAAATAAGACGAAAGACTACCATTGTTAGCATATTGCATAACAACCATGTACTCTTTTGTTTCCGGGTCTTGTGTGACTCCATAAATTTTAAGGAATGACTGATGCTTGTCAGAGCACTTGGCATGATTTCTAAACTATTAAGTAAATAAATAAATAATAAATACAGAGTCAGATTAGATATCACTTTAATTAATAATACCAATTATTGTTTACCTCAGAAATAAATAATTCCGGTGTTTCATCAAAACTCTTAAAACGTTTGAGCACAACAGTTCGTGGCAAGCGCTTTTCTGAAATCGCCTTATATCTGGCAGTATAAACTGTTCCATAACCACCAGATCCAATCAATTCGAGTTCACCAAAGTCGGCATACTGCATATACTTTATATCTGTATTAGTTCGTATAAATTTGTCCAATAGTGAATGTACGTCATGGTAGAACACTAAATAGTATTTTCGAGTAGATGGCTCTTGAGTGATCCCAATTAACCAAACATTATCCGGTGTTAATATCTCTGGGAATTCCTTGGTTAGCTATTTGAGTAAATAAAATACAATCATTACAACAATAATTGATGTTAAACCACGATTCGCATTGTTTACACATGAAATAATTTACCTGATAAAAATCAAACGGCTGATCGTCCTGTTCATCAACTATCCTTTTGAGTGACACTCGTGTCAGCTCATTAGCTGTTGGTTCTAACCAATCGGCTATATGTGTGCATCCATGGCGTAATAATGTCATCTCTTGTACGTTTGTCAATAGAGAGTATTCAATCCATTGTATATAGGCATCATATATATTCTCCACATTATTCCATGACTCTATTAGAAATGAATTCAAAGACTTGTTGCCCATAGTCCAATTAAGAGGTCTTGGTGCTTTACATTGATAACAGAATGCATTTATCTTAGGGTTTAATGCGTTTGTACATGCTAGACATAGTTCATTCTCAACCTTCATTAAACAATACTTCTGTTCACGCAGTACATATGTGAATCCGATAGTAATCCAAAAATTATTGATAAAAATATCCGGATGCTCATCACATAACTAGTAAACATGGTACGTTATATTAAATTAATAATCATTCGAATAATTCAATAAACGGTATGCATAATTAATAATTGAATAGTTACCTTGTCATAATATGAATCATCTGTATCATTTGTTATTTCAAGCGGAGTCAATTTAATATATGCATAAGTGGGTAGACCATGTGAGTCTACGTAATCTCTCCCCCAATCATGATTACAATCAAATGGAATCCATTCCAAATAGGCATCATTTGCTGAGTTTGTTTGTATTTGAGATTTTTTAATAAAGTCATCGAGTTGCTTATTGTTGCTAGTCCATCCATTGGATAATTCTTTACGTCCGCAAATGCACCACACGGGACTGCATCGGAGTATCCCACATGCAGAGCAGAATCCATAGAGAGAATAATAATAGTAAAAGTGTCTATAAGCAACCATGTAATAGTTATCATCGTACTTGGTAAATCCCATTATACGTTTGTTGCGATGCACAAGCCATTTTGCATATCTTCTGAACTGATTAACGTCAGTATTATATTTATGCGTTGGAAGTGAGTGTATTTTGGAAAACTCACTCACAAATGCCGGTGTGCATATTTCATCTCTTCCAAGTAGTATCATTATCACATCTCCATATCGCTTGCGAGTAGCGTAGTGAACGTTGTCAATTTGATGTGAGTGTATGTCGACAATATCTGAGCAAGGAATCCATTCAAGTTTATTATATTCATTTTCTTGAACCAAGTCGTCAATTGCTGGATTATGAATATCCTTAACAGCCCCTGAAACTAACGACATAATTTGATTAAAACTTTTCAAAATACAATCTCGGAGAGAGATCATTCTCAACATTTCTTGTGTTACATGGCAGTAATACGTAATTAGTATGTTACACAGTTAGGTCTGTCCAACGGGTGTCCTTAACTTACACCCCGGGTGTACGGCAAATTCGTACACCCCCGGGGTGTACGATAAAAGATACACCCGGG